CCCCCCGCCCCCCCCGCCTGATAGATAGACTCAGACATTTTGAGCCACCTTTGGCAAAGTAGGAAGGAACGATTGGCCATCGGTGATCGGTCCTGTGGGAACAATGCTGCGTCCTCTCGAGGACGAGTGGTCAATGGTCTAATCGCTAAGGCATGCAACCCACAAGAGTACGCCCCCCCCCCGCCTCCTCACGTGGACAGCGCCTTGGCGGTATCCCTGAGGGCGAGTGCGGCGGCCCTCTCGTCCGTGGTGGCCTGGTCGCGGAACAGCATGTGGCACAGCCCCACCGCCTCGGGTACCTTTCCCCTGGTCGCCGCCTCGTTGGCAAGGTGGCTCACCACGCTGGTCCAGGCCACGCCCAGCAGCTCTGACAGACGCCGCGCCCTATGTTTTTGTGTATGTATGTGTGTGACAGGGATAGAAGAGGGGGGAGAGCGAGAGAGACAGAGATAGGGAGGGGGAGACGGGGAGGGAGAGATGACGGAGATAGAGGGCGGGGGGGCAAGAAAGAGGAAAGAGTGTCGGTTTAAACATGACCCTGCGACATGAAGTTCCCTGAAGTTGCGGTGCTTCAACGACGCCCAGCAGCAGCTCCGGGAGCGCCCCGGTCCCCTGCATGCCTATTTGTTCGCGTACAGCATTGCGGTACCTCAGCAACGCGTGCCAGCATGGCCCATCTCTCCCAAGAATGCCACAAGCACACACGAGACAGACAGGCACAACACATAATAGAAAAACAAGACCTCAGCCTACTACTGTAGGAGAAAACAAGACACGGGGATCCAAGCACGACGAAGGGCTCAAGGCTCTAGGGGGGTTGTTCATCTGTCGATGCTATCAATAATTTCGAGCTGTGAGTAAAAGAGAGGGGGTGCACTTGCATGGCGAAAGAGGCCGCGAATGGCACCCATCCGCACCTACCATGATTGCGACCACCACCATCTTACCCCATACACGCAAAATACCATCACAACTAACGACATCCACACCAACAACAACGGCACACACCATTGTCTCCGTGAAGCATCTACACCAACACTACTTACGTGAAAATGACCGCACGGCACGCAAGTCGCTCAGATACGTGCTGACCCCAACCTGAGTCAATGCTCCAAGCTCGACACCTCGACAGAGCGAAGGAGTGGTCCTCAATACTGAACGGCGCAAACAAATGCCGCGTCTTTCGAAGCTACAGCTACAACAGCTCTGGAAATAATATTTCCACGCCTTTTTATCCTTTCCCAAGTCTGTATCCATCACTTCTTGCCGTCGACACACAGACATCGATCCGGGAGCCCGATCCCAATGTCATGTATATTCATGTCTCGGCGACTCACGGCAACCACCACAGCACAGCCCCCTCGCGCTTGGTGATGTGAGAGCCTGGTCCGGTGAGACCCCGGCGTGCTCCGTTCCGGCTTTGTAGGGATCCGAGGTCAATGGTCTAACGACTACAGCATGACAACGAGTACCCCCTTGCCATCGGGGTTGGGTTTCGCCCCCCCCGGTGTTTGCCATCGGGGTTGGGTTTTCGTCGCTTGGCAACGACGTTGTAAAACAAGCCGCCCTTGTAAAACAAGCCGCCCTTGTAAAACAAGCCGTCCCCCTCGGTGCTTGCCATCGGGGTTGGGTTTTCGTCGCCTG